ACCATAGTCACGCAATACAGCACAACGTACCAAATTGTAACTAGTCAGATAGAACGGCCTTTGGCCAAAGTCCTACATAGCCAACGGCTGATACAGGACTATAATGGAATAATAATAATAGATCAGCTAGAGTATTTGCCACTACTTGATCGCTGTCGCCGTTAGCAATGACCTCCCTAATCTTGTATATTTTTTGAGACGAAGCTTCGGTTGCAATTTTGCAAACTTCTAAGCACTACTTAGATGCATTAATGTCTTCTAATAGGCGCCTTCTTTCCTTATCACTTCTTGAATCATTTCTGAGAACTAAAGACTATAGCTAATCTTGGAGATGGCCTATAATGCTTGCGAAGCTGTCCCGATTTTTGTTAAGAGCTTGGCGAGTGAGCACCTGTGCTTCGAAGCTCTGCTGCTTACTGTTTCTAGTGTCGTTTTGCCCGTCTTATAATATAGTTGATTTCTAATTTAGGGATTCAAGAAACTCTTTCGCATCTTCGCAGATACGGAGACATGTCTGCGTGACTTCTTTTTCGTCGTCGAGGTTAATATTTATGGTGGAGATGTTCGAGTCTGGGTAGCGCTGCAATTTCTCGTCGACTCGCTATAGGTGAACATTGAGTTTATATACTGTGTCTCGTATTATCTTATTATACTTACCTAGCGCCTGCTGAGAGACTTTAGCAGCACGTCTGGTATTGTTGTTAGCGGAGTTCGGGAACTGAAATACTGACATATATAGTGATTGTGCCTAGACTAACCGCAATCGTGGATTTGTATCTAGATATCGTGTTAATGAACTCGTTTATATCCCCTCTTATGAATTCTAACTTAGCCTAATCGCGAAAGCTAGCTTTATTCTTCTGGTTAAAAGATTTCATCGATTGCTTGAATTCTTGGCACACTTCGCTATATCGGTCGATAGGCTCCTAGAGAAGTGTAGATATAGATGCTTCTGCATGAGCTACCTCCTTCAAGGAATCCAAAACGCTGATGATTCCTTAGAGCTTATCTTGCAGCCTCTGCAAGGTCTTATCTCGTCCTTTAAAGCGTGAGACAGTTTCGTAGAGCGACTTAACTGACTGAACTGTGACTGTAACGAGAGCTACCACTAACGCCGTAGCACTTAAAGGGTCTGCTATTGAGGACAAGAGCGCGACGCACGTGAGAGGTGTTGGCGTGTTACTGATGCTAGACTGAACATTTAACGAGGGCTGAAGAGGAAGAGAGGCGGGGTTGTTGAGTACATCATAAACCCGCATAGCTGATAGCTATGACGATTTACAATAGCTGATTGGTTGGATTAGCGCTGTGGCTTTTGATACTATTGATAAGGACTTCGGACTTGGGGTGCGTATAAGTTGTTGACTATTGCATGGTCCTGAGTGCTTTTGAGAGTAGAATTTGAACGTGCCACAGGCGCTTATGATGTTGCAAGATCTAACTTTGATGAGGCGAGTAGGTGCTGCTATCGATCTACCAACTCTATTCATTCCGCCACTTTCGCCTTGCTGTGCGCTACACGCGCTACCCCGCATTTGTGCAAGCGTTATATTTGTGCACATTCGTTCATACGCCAGTTCCCAATACGAGAAAAACACAACAGCGAGAATTCTACTTTTTGGAATGGACGTAATCCACAGCACATGCCCAGTCATCAGAAGATTATGGGTTGACCAATCACATTGATTATTCTGCAGCTGACTTTCTGCTAAGCTATATACGAAATGTGGGGCTGCTAAGGTTTGCTACGCAGCTACGCGCAAGGGTTGAAGCCGCAATCGCTACACTCTCATGCACTTGCAGTTTCCGCTTTGCGCACGACGGCCAGTTTCGATCCTACGCTCACCCCTGTCTTGCTTAGCTTAGCCTTACCCTAAACGTTCTAGCTCTACTCATCGTCACCGCACGCTCCCTCTCTGCAAAGCCTCTACTATCCCTCCACGTGTGGCGGAAAACCCTGTGTGCCGGCATGCCAGCCATACTCTTACCCACAATAAACGCAGCCACAGTTCAGGAGCGTACATAATCTCGGGATAGAGACTTTGATTTCTTAATATCCCCTGCGCTTCGCCCCTTTGCAAAGAAATGCTTTCGTGGCCAGCAATACCACAATTCGCTACTGGCATGTGTAGCAACCCTGGCTCGGTCAGCCTCGGATGCGCTAGATGTCTTGTGCATATATCTAAGAGTCTGTCATACTATTTAAATATATATAAGGAGTCTATCCCGAGCATCACGCTGCAATATATCATCTGGGGGAGTTGTAGTGTAGGTTTAAAGAGTAGTGCAACACTGGAGCGCGCTACCTACGAGTCGTATGTAGATACCAAAAGCAGACTAATAATAGTGGTATTCTGTAAGCGCTGACCTCAGTCCTTTACACTGTCAACATAGCTTAGGCGTGAAGCTAGAACCAAGCATGACTCGCTCGAGCTTGAACGCACGCGTGACACTGCACTATTCTCCACTGACGCCTGTTTTCGAAGTATCTAGATAACTAACTAGTAGCAATGTGTATTTATCGCAAGAGTATTTTCAAACAGACAAGCAACCAAGCGCATGCGTGTGCTTCGCTCCAGCCTTGGACCCCACAAGTGGCTGCTCGAAGTCGTCAGGCTGCAGACTGCATAGCCGCCAGGCTGAGTCCGAGGAGGTGCTGTGCCGCAGACCATTACAGCAGACTATTACTGTAGACTCTATCACGGTAGACACACCACTAATCATGCATGCTCTTCTATAGAGATGCCATGGCCGCCTCTACGACATCCAACATAGCGTTCGGCAACGCATACAAGAGCGTCCAAGCTAATAATATCAACGGCTCTATCCACATTGGTACGTCGCGGGACCGTCCGAGGACCGTCAAGCCGTCCAGTAGACATTGCACGCGCTAAGCAGACACGTTAAACAGGACTTGAGAACATATTCGACCGTCTCCCGCGCGCCGAAGATGCGCCCTTCAACTCGTACGCTAAGCAGCACGAGCCTACATGCCTCCCTGACACGCGCGTCGATCTACTACAAGAGATATATAGCTGGGCGGATGGGCAAGACGAGCGGTGCATCTTCTGGCTGAGCGGCCTGGCAGGCACAGGCAAGTCGACGATCGCGCGGACGGTGGCGCGCAGCTACTACGACAAGCAGCGTCTGGCAGCCAGCTTCTTCTTCTCGCGCGGCGGCGGCGGCGACGTCGGCCACGCAGGTAGGTTCGTGACGAGCCTTGCGGTGCAGCTTGCGCGCAACGTGCCGGTATTAAAGCGGTGCATCAGCGACGCAGTTGTAGAGCGCGACATTGCTAGCCAGTCTCTGCGTGACCAGTGGCAGCACCTTGTTCTCTGCCCGCTGTCGAAGCTGCACGAGCCAGAAGCAGGGTAAGGAACATACATTATAGTCGTCAATGCGCTCAACGAGTGTAACAACGACAGCAACATCCGCATTATCGTGCAGCTGCTGGCTGAGGTGCGGTCGTCATTGACAGGCGCCCGGCTGCGGGTGTTGCTGACAAGCAGGCTAGAGGTGCCGATCCGGCACGGGTTTCAGACGATAGCGGACTCGGAGCACAAGGACGTTATCCTGCACAACATCTCGCCGTCAATCGTTGACCACGATATAGGGCTCTTTCTTGAGTACCACCTCAGGATCATCGCAGGAGAATGTTGTCAGGCGGACGACTGGCCAGGTGTAGAGACTATTAGACGGTTAGTGCAGAGTGCATGCGGTTTGTTTATCTGGGCTGCCACTGCATGTCGCTTCGTTCGGGAAGGTGGACAATTCGTTACTAGCCGACTGCGTGCTGTTCTTAAGGACAGCTCCTCTATAGACAGCAGCTCGGCAAATAACAGCTCATGTAGCGACTCTGGCACAGACGAGCACTTCAAGATTCTGCCCGAACAGCGGTTAGACAGCATATACCTTACAGTGCTTAGGAGCCCTGTTCGCAGATACAGGAAGCAGGAAAGGAAGAGATGGTACACGCTAATTAGAGAGACACTTGGGGCGATTGTGCTTCTACAATCGCCGCTTTCTACTTCTTCACTAGCTCAGCTACTACGTGTTCCTATAGAGGATGTGCATCGAACGCTATATGGGCTAATTACACTCGATTATAGATGTCCCACAAGACCCAAACTGGCCAGTGCGATTGCATCACCCTTCGTTCCGCGCTTTCCCGGACAAAGAAGGTAACTCGATACCATAGACTTCTAGCAAACTTCTCTCGTACTAAGCTTCTTTTCTACATTCTTCTACTCTAATTCTTCATATATTTCGCAGCAGCCTTAGTGATTAATCGGATAATGATCCGACTTAGCTGAGCAACGTCAGGTCGAGCTACCATACTGAAATGGTCGGCTTCGACTGTCTCCACAACTATACCAGCTCGGCTGCCCACCCACCTTTCCCACCCATTTGTGCCAAAGTCTTCTCTCTTGCCGAAGAGCCAGCTTTTGTATATCATTCGTAATGCATCGATACCGCCTTTGGCAACTGCTTCTTCTTCCTGCTCAACGTTACCCATAGCTGCTTTACGTGTGACCTCTAGCCGATGGCGGTTGGGATCCGGTTGTTCGTTCAGACCTTTGGTTGCCCAGCATATGGCACAGATCCACGGGTGGCTCTGATCTTCTGCGAAGGCCCGCGTCTGTTCACGAGATTGGACACGACAGGAGGCGTACAAATGGTCGCGTTCGCGCTCTGTAAAATCGTCTGCCAAATTCTTTCCGCGAGCCGTTGTCATTCCGATGTCATCGAGAGTGCCAAAACCGACGACGATATTGAGTGGGCGTGGTCGGGGTGGTCTTGTGTCTATGATGAGCAGGAGAGCAATCTCCTCATTTGCGAGTGAGAGCTGTCGCGATACCTCGTAGGCATACTTGCCGCCTACAGACCATCCACCGACGAAATATGGCCCGTGAGGCTGAATAGAACGGATTGTTTTGATAAACACTTTAGCCACTTGTGAGATAGTCATAGTATAGTCGAGCGGATTGTTAACGAATGGTGATTCTAGACCATAGGTCCGACGTCCATTGGGTAGCTTGTCGAGATGAACGTAGGCCTCAACCGTACCCGATCCATCTGTTAGAAGAAACAGAGGGGGGTCTTGCGATTGCGCAGAGCCTTGGAGAAGAATCGCTCGAGAGGTTGGACCACTATCCTCCTGGGTGAGTGGCGCTGGGTCTGGCAGACATGACGGTGATGACTGTTGCTCTTTGTCTTCGCATGATCCCAGTTGTCGGCGGACATCGCCGACTTTCGGATGCTCGAAGAAAAAGGCTGCGGGGAGCTCGATACCAGTCTGCTTTCGAAAAACTGAGAGAATTTGAATACTTTGCATGGAGTCTAGGCCAAGAGATTGCCACGTGCTGGAATCGTGCAACTCGTCCGTCTCAATACCGAGCGCGCACGCCACGATACGCAAGAGTACGGCACAGTTGGAGACATTTTGAATATTGTCAAGTTCCAGGGAGGAAGCTTGCACATCTTTATTCTCTTCGCGTACTCTTTCTGTTGCAGATGCCAAAGTTGGGAGCAAGACTTCCAGCTCTCGCTGCACATCAAGGATGCTCGATGTGGGCGCAAAGAGGGATGCAGCAAGCTCGATGCCGGTAGTTCTCTTCAAACTGGCCATGATAGATATACTTAGCTGAGAATCGATTCCAAGGTCTCCAAAAGTCTTTCCTCCATGAATCTCTCGAACAGACAGTCCAGTCGCGGCCGAGATGGTCGAGTGGATGATGTCAATGGGGTTCTCGTCTTTGCATGAGTTCGAGTTGGGTGATCGTGTAAGTGAGTTCGAGGAACAATATCCACTGTCTCTGGCCGCTACTTCCGGGTCGTTTGATTGACTCGGGACTCGCGTTGTGAGTGCCTTAAATAAGGCCCTGTCTACATGCTGAAACCGAATTCCTTCGCATGACAAGAGTAACATAGAAGGATCGTCAAAAACATACGCATCGCATATAAAGATGCCACCCTCGATATACTCTCTGATGGAGGCGTATATTCGGTATTCTCGGTTGGGTGACAATTCCCCATGCAATCGCAAGCTCTTGATGTGATTTGATATATACACCAAATGTCTTTGTTTGCTTGGTTTGGCATTAAGCAAGAAACCCACCAAATGAACCATACTGTCAACCATGAATGGATTGCATGCATACGCGTCGGTAGGACAGCTCTCGAACTGAAATGTCGCAACAGCGTCACAGAAGTGTCCTGCTATCGAAGCCTCTCGAATTGTTCTGTATGAATTGCCATAGTTGACAATCTCAGCAAACATGTGGTAGAACAATTTCTGATTCAACATGCACTTCTCCGAGAATGCCATCGATTCAATCTCGCGGGACCGGTACTCTACGAGGCGCCAGATCTTGGTCCATTCCGTGGACCATTCTTGCCGCTCTCCTGCTGTCGCAGCCGCTATCTGACCAGTGGCATAAGTCAGAGGAGCGTCGCCTTCGGCTGCGAGAATATTCACAGAGACTTGTTTACTCCCCCTGTCAAGCCTTGCTTCAATGCGGATTTGCTGGTGCTTGTCTTGGGGTTCCATGGCCAATGGGCTGGTCATGTTGAGCTCAGTCAATTCTATGCCCGTTACCGATTTGGTCAAATTCCCATGCATTAGATATGTAGCGGCTGACATCATTATGTCCATGAACACGCTTGCAGGACAGATTCTACTTCCGTCGACCACATGACCATTAATACCCTCGAATAGACCTGCTTCGGAAAGACTCGAGTAGAACACCGCTAAGGTTTGGGACCCTTCATCTGACAAGGAGTGCAACCGATGAAGAGTGGATGATAATAAATTCGTCGACGACGCCGTTGTAGGTTGTGGGCTAGTCTTGCGAAACGGCTCCCAAAACTCTCGGTAATCGAATGAGGTTTGCGGTAAACTGAGAGGCTCAAGATGAGCTAAATAGGGCTTGTGAAATTCGTTCCACGCTACCTTCTTCCCAGCATCATGAGCGACTGCGAGACAAGTAGAAATGCCATACCAGTCGATCTTTCCGCGCTGGAGAGTTGCGACAGCTGTTGGTCTTGCCGCTCGGAGGCTGGCTTGCAATAGTCCGATGCTGGTCGGATGCGGGCCGATCTCGACAATGACGGTGTCATCTGTGATCAGGCCGTTGTCCTCGCAGGCCTGGGTTGCTGCAACGAACTCAACTGCTTGCCTTGTATGACGCGCTAGGTAACAGGCATCAAAAATAGCTTCGCCCGGATTAACAATCCTCCCGAGAACGGTGGACGCCACGGGTATCCTGGGGGGTTGGAAAGACACCTGCTCCGCCAACGCGCTAAATGAGGCACAAATAGGATCCATCTTGCTGGAATGGAAAGCAAAGTCTACATTCAACCGAGAGACTCGAGTCCCGCTGTTCTTCATCTTTGCTTCCAGATCCAGAATGTGAGCCATCGGAGCACTGACGACAGTGAGATTTGGAGTGTTATAGCACGAGATCTCGCACTCTTCACCCCATTGCTTCTGTATCGTCAATGCCGGCAAATTGACAGAAAGCATACCATGGGTGCCAGCCTCGTTTGTCTGCTCGAGTAGACGTGCGCGGTGGTGGAGTAACCAGAGAACATCGTATGCCGATAGAACACCCGCGACAAATAGAGCGGCATATTCACCAATGCTATGGCCTATGACGAAGTCGGGTTGAAGTCCGAGTGACATTAAATATGATGCCAATGCCATTTCTAGAGCTGCGATGGCCACTTGGAACTGACCGCTCGCTAAAGTGGCATCCTCGGCCTGAGTAATGAGGTTCAAGAAGCCGAGTCCATAACTTTGGCAATGTTGCTCATAGGAATCCAGTAGCTGACGAAAGTATGGCAATGTTTGGTAAAGGGTTGCACCCATACCAGCATATTGTGCACCTTGTCCAGTAAACGTGAAGAGCATATTTGGCTGGACGCGGTCGATCGGCGAATGGAGACAACAGGGCGCAGATAGTTTCTCTGCAAGCTCCGCAATCGAAGCAACCACCAAAGATCGGCGATATTTTTTAGGCATCCGTCGAGCGGTCGTCGAATAGGCCAAGCTTGGCAAGTCGATGTTGGATTGACTGGCTAATTTGTCAAGGAGACGGGCTTGGAAATTCTCGAAAGAGGTCTTCGAGTGCCCAGATATGACAACCACTTGGTGTGACGGCGTCCGCGGAGCGGCAGAGTTGTTGCAGAAAGCTCGATATGAAGATGGGAGTGCATCTTGCACAACCATGGATACATTCCCCCCGGCTGCATCAAACGAGTTGACGATAAGAGTGCGGCGATTTCGTGAAAAGTCTTGGCCGTTCGCAATAGCGATCCTCTGTCCAAGTATGTCGTGGAACTTTGCATTCAAAGCAAAAGGCCAGCCAGGTTGGGGTGGTACCTTATTTTTCTGAAGCACCAGCACAGCCTTGATGAGTGAAACGACACCTGCGGCTGCTTCAGAGTGACCAATACTAGCCTTGACCGCGCCTACAATGAGAGGATGCTGAGGGTCGTGGCCCTCTGCAAGGACATTTGCTACAGCTGCCATTTCGATACTATCTCCCAACTGCGTCCCGGTCCCATGCATCTCGACGTAATCGACTTCGGACGGGCAGATGCCAGTCTCTCGTAGTACATGCCCGTAAAGAACTTCTTGCGCCTTCTGTGAAGGTGCCGTCAATGATGCGCTTGTACGCGCATTCGCGTTTCGTGAGGCACTGGTGATCGATGCGAGAATATTGTCTTTGGCTCGGAGCGCATCCTCCTGCCGTTTGAGGACAACGACACCGACAGCTTCGCCTCGACAGTATCCATCAGCGCTTTCCGCAAAAGTCTTGCAAGCCCCAGTCGCGGAAAGAAATCCTCCTTTGCCCAAACCCTGGTACCACTCGGGTGTGTTGAGCAGGTTACCTCCACCTACTATAGCCATGTCAATCTGACCCGATAAGAGAGCATCGCGGGCCAAGCATAGACATGTAGCACTGGAGGAGCAGCCAGTGTCAATACTATAAAAGCCGCCGCTCCATCCAAAATACCGGCTAATGCGTCCTGGAGTGAAACTGCGGTTTAACCCAGGCAAGTAGTGCATATCGATGCCTCGCTGCTGATTGATGGACTTCCAGTCGTCTGTAGTCTGACCAAAGAAGACTGCTACGCGCGATGGATCCGGCCCAAATTCTGCGTCACAACCAGAGTAGCCAGCCATTTCTAGGGCCTCGTAGGTAGTCAGCAATGCCATTCGTTGTATGGGGTCCATCTGCATAGCCTCAACAGGGCTAATGGCAAACAGGGCATGATCAAATACGCCAGGGCGTTTGATGAAGTGACCAGTATAATCCCAGGCCGTCTCCTCGTTCGGCAAGAATCGGGAAGGAGGGATTTTCTTCGCCGTCGATGTTCCACTCTCTAGCAGTGACCAAAGCTCCTCGACATTGTCACTCTCGGGAAAACGACCAGCCATGCCAATCACGGCGACTGCATCGTCAGTGGGCTGGTTGAGGCTGCTGATATGCGTCCTATTGACTGTTTGAATGGGGAGGCCAATCAGCGATACCGCGTTGGCTACTTCGCGTGCATCTGGATCACTTCCAAATAGAACCAGATCAGCAGACTCTGCTCCTCTTTGCGCAACTATGCCTGCTGTCAGACAGTCCATATCAACACGACGACCTGCAATATCGTTGAGTACTTGGATCAACAGGTCTTGGAAATTACTGGCTTCGTAGGGTTTGCCGTCGGTAGGGGAGACTACCGGTCGAAGGATCGATCTTGTGCAGTTCGACGTAGGGATAGATTGTAGTATTGCCACAACGTCGAGTGGTTGCAGGTGTGGGGCGAACATAGTGGCGGGACCGTATAAGCAAGTTGACTTGAGCTCATCTGGGTCCTTAAACTTGGCGAGAGTACTTGGCGGCCCGAACAGAGTTGCTGTCTTATTGGATACAGAAATGATGCCGGCGTACGCGCGCAAATGTACCGGAGTGGCGAGGTTGACACGGTTGAGTTCGGACTCGAGTTGGCTCAAGGATTCTATCACCATGACATGGGGTTCCCAAGCGGACTCTGAACAGTCGATATTGCGGCCTCGACGCTCCAATTCGATACCAAATCTGAAGGCTAGACTGACAATGTATTGTGACAGCTGCACAACGTCCCATGAATCATGAACTACGGCGGATAGGGCTCCGCTCAGCAGCCCGATACCCGCTCCGGCGGCCAACACGCCATCGATCTCGTCGGAGGTCATCCGAAGCACAAGTTCGGCCAATTGAATGCTGAGAGTCAAAATCATTTGTATGGGGCCGTATGGGTGACGTTGCTGTTGTTTGGCAAGCAAGAACAAGTCGATGTCGCAGTCTCCCAACCTTGCTCTCTCCGAGGGGTACACAAACTCCGTCACATCTTTTCGCAGCGTCCGGTGCACTGATTGAAGAAATTTTTTCAACATATGATTCGACTTCGAGGCATGCTGCAGTTTGTAAAGTCGTGAAAGCCCGTCTTGAGAAGTTGCAGGGAAGTACAGCATGCATTGTCGCTTCATGGTTGCTGCAATGCGACAAAAATGGTCCAGTGTCGATGAAAGTAGTACTTGCAGCACATGTCTGAGGCAACGTTTAAGGATATCGTCACGGACTTTCTCAGCCGTGTGAACTCAGTTCACTTCGAAGCAGTCATGCCGAACCGGAGAACGGCGGATGTCCTGACAAGAGGCTGCGTGAGATATAGGAAATGAACGATGACATGCATACAAGGATATGTGATGAAAAGATTTATTGAGGCACAGAGCATGGTGGCTGCTTATCACAATCGAAAGACTTCTGCATGGTACCCTGACGCTTACCTGACGGAAAGGCGGTCACTGTGAAAGTGCTTCGCAGAAACCCCTTGCGAAAATACTCTGTATGCGCGTAGTTCTAATTATTCTTCATTTCTTAAATAAGTTTCACCATGAATAAGTAAGTAAGGGAAGTGTAAGCCTTCAAAAGAATAATATTGTTATTGGGTTACGGAGTTTCATAGTTACATAGTTAGTTGATGATGTTTTGGTGAGTTGGGCGCCCGTGCGGTCGGCTCTTTTCTTTCAGGTGCGTGCCCGTAAGTTAAGTTTCACCTTTGAAGCGGCCTTGTCAAATTATGGCCAATCGGAGAATTTCATGTGTTCCTGGCAGGTGGCTACGTCAAGGTTAGGGAAACGACTACACGTAATACGGAGAAATGTTAAAAGATGAGTTATTTACGCACGGAACATGCCAGTTCCTGTTGCAGCCACGAGAACTATTGCTCCATACCCGGGCAGCGATCTGCCCGCTGATCTTTTGTGTATGATTGCCAATTGTTTCCAAAACTCACGCTGATTTCTTCGTGACGCAGAAACTTTGGACATACAATTTACCATGAAACTCTCAAGCCGACAGACAGATACGACGATCGAGTTAACGGATGTACGGTTTAGATCATTACCGCACCAAAAACAACAGGAAAAAGCCCGCCCCGACGCGGCACGTGATCTTCACTTTCATGACCTGTTTCGATACGCATCAAAACGGGACACGATCATTGTTGCTTTCTGTTCTATGTGCGCTGTCGCAACCGGTGCGCTCCGCCCGTTCCTGATGCAAGCTACCGGCTCGGTTGCAGGTATCTTTCGAAAATACCACATTGGTCAGGCGTCAGAGGCTCAATTCCTCCAAGAGGTGGCTCAGACTGCCCGGTTCTGTTTGTATCTGGGCATCATCATGTTTGTCACCTCCTACTGCTCCAATTCGGGGTTTGTGTACACAGGGCAGAGCATCTCGGACAAGATACGCAGAAAGTACTTTCATAGCATCCTCCACCAGGATATGGAATATTTCGAGCAGATAGGCACTGGTGAGGTATGTCCCGTCGATTTACATGATGCCGGTCGGTTTGTAACATAGTTGCAGATAGCAATGCGTACGATCGAGAGTACAGAGACAATTCAAAGCGCAATATCCGAACGGGTCCCACAAGCCATCACACGCATCGCGCTCTTAGCGACTATCTGCATTCTTGGCCTAATGAGGAATTGGAAATTGTCATTAATACTCCTTTCCGGTTTGGTTCCTACCGCCATAGCCGTTGCTACGGCCCGCGCTTTTATCAAACAGTTCGTGACACTCATGCACTAGTGACACTCAGAACTGACAACTATAAAACTTTAGACTAGAGAAGCAAGCAGCACGACGATCAGAGGAGGCGGCGAGCTTTGTGCAAGAGGTATTTGCCAACATACAAAACGCCATGGCGTTCTGCACCCAAGAAAAGTTCGTTCACTGCTTCAATGTCAGATTTGGCAGAGATATAACAAAAGCATCCTTCCATGCAATTTGGGCCTTTGGCATATCTAGGGCGTTGAACACGACGTGAATATGACCTGCGCGTTCCTTTCTGCACGAGACTAACGTTTACCCTAGACTTTCTTTTCTCATCATCGCGCTAGGCTTCTGGCAGGGCAACAAGTACATTGCCTCTGGGCAGGCCACCGTGGCAGATGTTGTTACAATTGTGCTTCTTTTCAGCATCGGGGTCAGAAGTGCTTCAGGATTTGGAGCGAATGTCCAAGTTTCGGCGGCTGCGACTGCGGCTGCAAGAAATCTGTATCTTCTTATAGATCGTCTAGATGTCGAGTCTAGAAGACCTGACTGTGAACTTCAAAAACTCGTTCCCAGTCTAGGTGATGGAAAAAATCTTACAATCGAGTTCCACGACGTAACGCACGTATATACCTCGCGGAGTAACGTGACCGCGCTCAAACACTTGAGCCTCCGCATACAGCCCAACAAGCTTACAGCTATTATTGGCCCGTCCGGATCGGGTAAGAGTACATTGCTCGGGTTAATTCAGCGGTTTTACGAGCCCTGTGAGGGTCAGATAGTCTTTGGGGGCTACGATATACGATCTCTCGACGTCAATTGGCTTCGAAAGCAGTGTGCACTCGTCTCTCAGGAGCCATTCCTATTTGACGGAACAATCGCTGAGAACGTTCGCTTGGGAATGCCCGAGACATGGCATAATCGGACCCCTCATGACATTCAACAGGAGGTTGAAAAAGCATGCCGTTTAGCAAATGCTCACGATTTCATCGAACAACTCCCCGACATGTACAATACTCAGGTTGGACGTAGAGGAGCCTCATTGAGCATGGGTCAACGCCAACGCATCTCAATTGCACGAGCCATTATTGGACAGCCCAAAGTCCTATTACTCGACGAGCCATGTTCGGCCCTGGACGCGGAAAACGCCCGTGCAGTTGAGGCATCTATCATGACCGCTGCGCAGGGACGGACGACTATTGTAGTATCGCACCAGCTGGAATCCATTCGACATGCAGATGTTATCGTTGTTATGGACCATGGTGGTATTGTTGAACAAGGAACCCATACTGAGCTAATGGCCAATTCTACGGGCACTTACAGAGCTCTTGCGAACACACAAGGACTAGCCAGCGAGAGTAAGACTCTTCAACCCGATCAAACTTATCGAGCAAGCCGCCGTAGAAGACGTATTGGATCTCCTGTCCCTGTAGACTCTCAGCAAGCAACGCCATCGGGCAAGGGTCGTCGGAAGAGCCAGAATGCGTCTTCGGGGCGAGGTATCTGGACACTGGCCAAGTTCATAACACGAATGACGAAGAAAGAACTGGTTTATACGATTCTGCATTTCATTGCCGTCTCCGCAGTGGCATCCGCTCGACCTGTTGCCGCACTCATCTTTGTGAAATGCATAGCGTCGCTCTCTCGATCTGTATCTGAACTCCACCGGCCAGGGCTGAGCCTCAATACGTGGTGCGCAGCATACACCGCAGTCGCAGGCGGTACTTTCGTAACCTATGCAGTGGCTGGACTCTCCTCTGCCATCTGTCAAACCCGACTTGTTCGTCGAGCTCGCGAGCTGTTCTTTCGCCTAGTGCTGGGGCAGGATGTGTCTTACTTCGAAAAGCACGCCGCAGCATCGCTGACCATACTCATGATCGGCGACATGGCCTGTCTTCCAGGACTCTCGGCCGTAGGCCTAAGTCCCAATTATACTGGGGTTTTCAGCTTGTATCTGTATTTTCTTCTTGCTGTCACGCGCGCCTGGAAGCTGGCATTGGTATGCGCCTCCCCCATACCACTTGTGTTTGGCATGACGATCCTCCGGAAACGTGTCCTTCCCCGTTTCCGAAAACAGATGAAAGCATTGTATCGGACTCCGGCAGCGTTCATTAGTGAAGTCTGCACTGCACCAGCCATGAAGACCATTGCCTCACTCGCATGTGAAGACAAGATAGAAGAGCGATACGTCCGGCAGGTGCAAACACAAGGATCAAAACTGGTCAAGGGACGGCAGAAGAACGCACTCGTGGATGCCAGCACCCTTTCCTTGACATTTTTCTGCATGGCCCTTGCAATCTGGTATGGTGGCCAACTAGTGGTAGGCAAGGACAAGTACACTATTCAGCAGGTCTTTATATGTATAAAGGCCTTGACACTTGGCGTCCAAGAGCTGTCTAGTGGAAGACTTTCAGGTTATAACCCTCAAACGCGTAAAGCGCGTGAAGCTGCAACAGCACTGAGAGATCTGACAATGCGGAGCCCTGAGATCAATGTTTGGAGTGAGAGCGGCCAAGTGCTTGAGTCACTATCACCATTGTCGATTGAATTTCGAAATGTATCATTCCACTATCCTGAAAGACCGGAGTGGGTCGTCGAGGACTTAAGTTTGAACATACAAGCTGGGCAATATGTCGCTTTAGTGGGTCCCTCAGGCTGCGGAAAGTCGACAATAATTGCGCTTCTCGAACGCTTCTACGACCCGCAACAAGGCAGTATCCTTGTAAACGGTAGAGATATTCGAGAATACAATATCAAGTCATACCGAGCTGCCTTAGCTCTGGTCGCTCAGGAGTCGCTGCTGTACCAAACAACCATCCGCGAGAATCTGTTATTGGGGTTGGAGAACAACATCGTCTCAGAGGCCGAGATCGTGGAAGCATGCAAAGATGCCAGCGCTTACAGCTGCTATATGTCACTACCAAATGGCCTTGATACGTTGATTGGCACACATGGCTCCACATTGTCAGGTGGTGAGAAACAGCGTGTAGCAATTGCACGAGCTTTGCTGCGGAAACCCAAACTTCTTTTGCTGGACGAGGCAACAGCAGCTTTGGATTCGAAGAATGAAAATGTCATCAAAGCAGCATTGGACTCGACTGTAGCCAATCGAACGAGAACTACTGTTACAGTTGCACACCGTCTCAACACGGTAAGGGCAGCGGATGTCATTTACCTGTTAGATGGCGGCTCGGTGGTCGATCACGGCACATTTGACGAGCTGTTAGAGAGAAACGGTACTTTTCGGCATATGGCCGAGCTCCAGAACTTGTTGAGCGGTAGCAGCAGCACCCCGCAGGAGTGATGTTGGGACGAAGTGATGCATGGGACCTGAGCCACCGTGGCACCCGTGGAGCTGTAGACTATTCTTACGGACTCTGGCGGAACGCCATTTTACCCCTTCACAGAGATAAGCAGAGTGATAGCAGGGGGATCCTTGGGCTCCCCCGATATCTTAGTAGAGATCAGCAAATAACCTCCCCCCCTGCGAAGCGAAAGACCCCTGCGTCGCGATAGGAACGCCAGGTACTTTGGCTTTGCTTCAGCTTTGCACTTTCTCTACAAGATCTCTATAGCCAGAAACCTAATAATACTAGTTGTTTAGAAGTAATTCTTTAGCCTTCTGATAACGTAGTTTAGGTACAAGCGAGTGACGCGTACAAGCGAGTGACGCACCCCACCAACTTTGCCCACCTCTCTCATCTCAACGCAACATGGCTCAACGCAGCGCTACTNGATTAATCTCAAATGAAGCAGATATTCAGCTTGCTATCTCCTCTATTAATATTAAACAAATTCAAAGTACTCGTTCTGCTGCTACAGTCTACAACGTATCTGAAGCGACACTCCGCCGCCGACGCGCTGGCATGTCTGCGCGACGCGATTGCCAGCCTAACTC